AACTGGGAATGCCGGAGCCCCTATCACTGGGTTGTTGTGACGACTCAATAACAGGCATGTACATACTTAAAACCATGCTTGGCACATCATACGCACTCAATAAGTATCAGCGACTAACACCATGGGTTTGATGCTTTGACGCTGAGCCCTTAGCGTACATCATTTGATTCTCACAACAACCCCATGAGTAGGTGCTGTTTTTACAGACGGGGAAACTGAAACTCAGAGAGATGACGTCACCTGTGTGAGGATGCACAGGAAACAAGGGGTAGTAGGGGCAGGCAGGGACTCCGGGAGGCACAGCCCAGCCCCCTGCTCCCCCTGCAGTCCGTACCTTGCTGGTGGCAGTGCAGGTAGACAATCTCCTCCAGGCGGATGGTCATGGCATAGTCCCAGTAGACACTGGAAGTGGGGGGGAGGTTTGGCTTGCAGAATGCCTGCCCACCTCATGGTGGTGAAGAGCTCAGGAGGTCAGAAGACACACCCACGGGCTCCTCTACCCTTCTCATCAGGACCCACCTATCCCCAACATCTGTATCACAGCCTTCCCAGACTCTCACTCCCTTCCTTCTGGTCCCAGCACCCCAATTTTCTGAGGAATCCCCCTTGCTTACCCCCAGTCCACATGGCTGAGGCTGACCCCACGAACTGTCTACTCCAGGAGTCCAGGAATGGCCACCTGACCCAGGTCTGGCCAATCAGCACATTCTGCTGTTTTGGCCACAGTGATTGGTTCAGGGATGGTTCCATGACACAAGCAGAACCAATGAGATTCAATTATAGGATTTATGTTAGAATTACTGGGAAAGGGATGCTCCTTTCGGCTTGGAGAGTAGTGGTAAGAATGACTGAAGTCTGGGGATATAGGGGGCTGTGATAAAAAGCCTGCCTAAGAATGGGGTCACCAGTCAGGGAAGCAGAGCCAAGAGATGAAAGAGCTCAGGTCTTCATCATTCGCGTCCCAGGATCTAGTCATGCCTGAAGCCACCGGCCCAGGATTTCTCAGTTCACGGGAGCAGATGCTTATGCCAGCTTGAGTCTGGTTTTCTGTCACCGGTATCTAAGACCCTTGACTGACTCAGACCCTATCTCCAGGCCACATGTGTCCTCGGGCAGGAGTGAGAACAGCCACTCAAGAGCCTTGACTTC